CTTCATTTTTGATGTTTTGAAAACTATAGAGCCCTCTTCAGTATCGTATAGGAAGACCCCATGTCAAATATTACAATCCGATTCCGTCTATATATTTAATAAACTGACCAGCAAACCTTCAACTGAGCCAAGTCACCGAAATCGGCCAACTCTAGCGTGCGACGTGAGGCGCAATCGTCAGCGCAGTCAATGTGACGGAGTTGGAGCGGCCAACGTTGAGCCACTACGTCAGAGGCATGACTACGTCATTCTCACGTTTTGTTTGTTTTTACGCCTCAGAGCGAAATTGAACGATGACGTCATGAGTTTCTCCTCCCGGTGTTGGTTGAACGGCGTCCACGTGATCACCGTAAAGCGGATGCGCTAGTTCGCGCTGCTCTGCGCGCGTATCGGTCTGTTTCTCCGCTCCCCCTCTTCTCTTTCGTCTTCTCCCCTTCCCCATCTCTCCCGGGCCATCACCGTCCACGCCATGCGAAGCGACCTGCCCGCGTCGCGTGTCCTGTCCCTCGCCCCCACGAACGCCACAAGACCACGTGGTTCGACGTGACGTGGCCATGACTCTGACGGCACGAGACCAATGTTTCCTGAGGCATCCGAAGTTTCGGTTTCGGTATCAGCTGATATTTAAATCAAGATTGCACAAATAATATTTCACATTTTGAGAATCCGAGGACGTATAGCTGTTAGTAGTGCTTTGTGAAATGGAATCACATGTAAGCCTAAATTTTTCGGAATTGAGCGGAGTTGCCCTTTAACTCGGGATGTTGGTCATGTGGGGTTTCAAAAAGAGTTTTATTAATGACACAATCATACGTGCTGTTTGAATATATTTTATATATTGATAATGCGTAAATGTTTGTGCGTCCACTGAATTGGCTGATAGTCTTCGCAAGAGTTCCCTTACAGCTATATTTCACTTCACAACACTAATAAATGAGTTAAACAAGATCCCCTGATGCATCAAATATGTTGACTGGCTGGCTGGCAGGTGCACTTGCGTAAGGGTTTTAACCATTTTCCCCTGTCTGACACGTCATCCAGGGTAATATTCTTTTTGTGCAAATATTTATTATTATTGGCATTATCTTTATTACTAACATTACTATCTTTATCATTCTCAATATTATTATTAATATTATTCTTATTATAATTAAATTGAACGATTTTTTTTATTTCAGAGGATTGACTGGTGTATTTTAGATCGGCTTACTAAAGAATACGACTGGGAAGGATTTCTAACCACCGTTGACAGCATTAATTTAATTTCGACTCTTCCTTTCTCACAATCCTTGAACCTTTCCGAAACTTATTTAAAAAGGTTGTGTTCGTCAAAAAACGAAGACCCATGTTGCCCTGCCACACCCTAGGTATTTTTAAAGCTATAACTAAAAAAATCTGTGGATGAAGTTTCGGCGATCCCCCAACAACGTATCTCACTCACTATAATGTAAGATTTAAAAAAAAAATGAGTCAATGCACTCATTCGATCAGCGAAGCGAACCTCTTTTGCCAAAAATATATCGAACGCTCGGTCAGACTCCAGGAAAACTATCGTCAATGAGCTTCGCAGCTATGTAAAAAAAAACTTAACTGAGACATTACGCAAACAGTTTGGGACTGATATGGTGACTACTGTCAACCTGTTTAATATATTTTTCGTTCATAAATTTCTTACTGTGCCTCTTCATACTGCGGAGGATTCAACACCCGGAATTCCGTTTCAATCTGAGTCTGCTTTTCTTCCTTGTCTGCCAGATACTGAGTTGCGATCTTACCTGTTTGGATTTAAGCGATTCAGGTCGGCGCATGTAGACGGCCTTACAGTTTGAGAATTGTGTCGAAAGTATGACTCTTTAGAGTGCGTACTCTTCGTTCTTGTAAATAATATTATAGTAACCGGTAATGTGCCTGACGACTTAAACAACCCTTAGTTGCTTCTATTTTCAAAGGTGGCGCACAAATTCAAGTGTCATCTTGCAGGCCAGTCTCAATGCTATCTTGCTTTTCACATATATTAAAAAAGGCATATTTGCGTTGCTATATCCGGTTTTCTCGACAAATACAATTAAACCTGACCAAGTCAATATGGGTTTGTTGCTGGTCGTAGCACTACTAATCTCATTGATAAATTATCAGCTATCGTGAACTCAACCTTCGACAATGGCATTTATGTGCGTGCCATCTTTAGCAATGTAGCCAAAGCGTTCGACACCGTGAACCATAATATCCCCTTAGATAAATTCTATGGAACTAGCTTTCGGGACCATTGCATACATTTATCAGGAATTTTCTTTAAAATCGTACGCAGGTTGTTTCAGTAGATAATGTCCGCAGCTCTCAGGTTTTCCTTACTTCCGGAGTTCTGCAGGGCTCAATTTTGTCTCCTTTACAATTCAACCTATACGTAAATGATATTTCGGCGGTAACGACCAATTCAACAGTTTTTTTCAACATGCGGATGATATTGTTTTGTTTTCCCGGCACTTTGTCTACCAGCGTGCGATGCAAATAAAATATTTGACTGTCATAAAATTTGGAAATGTCTCGAAAACAAAACTGATCTGCTTCGGTAGTCCTTTATAAATTGCAAGTTTGACTTTTCCACTATTTTAGAACGCACCTCTTAGGCGCCCCTATCCGGCTTGAGTGGCGTCGGCGCCGGCGTCGGCGTCGCCGTCAGCGCAACTTTATTATGGAGTACGTCCCAGGATGCACCGCGCCGAAACGTCGCGTGTCGTTTCGGCACGGTGACGTTTCGGCACTGTGTCGAAACGCCGCGTGACATTTTGGCGCGAGTGACGTCACCGTGCCGAAACATCACCGTGACGAAAACGTCATGGTGCTAAAACGCCACCGTGACGTTAATTAAGGCACCTCGCCGAAACCTCGCGTGACGACGCGCGTTTCGCGCCTGAAAGAAGGAGGATGCGAAGAGGAGAGGGTACGGATGAGGAGGGAGTGGCATACCCTCCCCTCAGTACCCTTCTTTCCTCCTCCTTAAGAGCTGCGCTCTAAATCAGCGTACAGGAAGCTGTAAAGGCTTTTAATTATTTTTCACAAGTGCAGTTGTCTATGTTTTAATTATAACCCTGTCCATTACCTTAGCTCAGTAAAGTACTGAGGTCCTCACTTTGATTATGATATTACATGGAACACTTACATGTCTCACGTGTGTCAACAGTTCAGGAGTGTGTCCTGCACAATGTACCACTTTAAAGGTTTTATACCATTATCAGTTTGAAGGAACATAATCCACGCCTAACTTTACAGCGTACTAAGTACGGAATAACTGTCTTTTTCAATTGTTACTTTTTTGGCATTTAAGAATTGACCGGGTTTAAAAAGGAATCCTGAAAATTGTCGCACACAACAACCCCACTTTTCATCCAACTCCAACCTCTTTGCTTTACTTGAGCTGCCGTCTTTTTACTCGCTCTTCCTTCAAACGGCCATCTGGCGGCATTTCTTGGGAAGTGATTTCAAACTCGCGTCTAGTACATGTTGTTCCACGCTTCCTCACTCCGAGGGTGAGAACTCACTACGGTGAACGTTTTCGCTAATATTATCTGGCGAAAATTTTTAGTGATCATCAAGAATCACTGCTTTCCATTAACTCAAACAAAACGTTGAAAGAACGTCTGAGAACCATGTTCTCTGATGTTGGGAAAAACTGACGTGTACCTTCTCTTTTTTCCACCTTAGTTTTATGGGGAGGTTTCTCGGTTACTTTTTCCCCCATTTTTACCTCCTATTTTTTATATGTTTAAAGCGATCATTGAAAACCTGATTGGTAGAAATATTTAAATCTGACTACGAACATTGCTCACAATTCTTTTTATAAAAAAGTTTAACAAAGCATGAAAAGTTTTTTTTTATGAAAGTAATTGTGTAAGTAATTTTAAGAGTAATTGTCACTACATATATCTTTTCTTTCTCCTCCTAAGATGTGTGAAAATCTTTTTTTTTTCTTGAGAAAAGTAATTCTCTAAAAAGTGTGTGGGTGTGTTTTAGTTTTCTTATTTTTCTTTTCCTTTTTTTTCTTTTTTTTTCGTTTTCTTCTTTCACCGGTGAGGAAGTAAACTAGACTCTGACAGGTCACTCCTGCGTCCCAAGCGACTACGGTTTCATTGTCTTCTGGATCTACTGTGCATGTGTGTATGTGCGCGATTCTTTTTCTGATAAGATTGTCGGTTTTCCCGCTCATTTTTAAGGCCGACAGAAAGGCGACCCTGTGCCTTGAGGAGAAGATAACATCGGTGTGTGATTCGTGTGTTTGCGAGTGTGTGAGGGTGTGCACGCGGCAAAGTGCAAATTTGTTATATGATTGCTACTACTACTAGGTCTAGTCTCACGAGCCCTTGAGGCTTTGATAAGACATGGAACTTGATCCTGACTTTAAGGAATAGGTATTAAATATTTATTATTATTATTATTATTATTATTATTATTATTATTATTATTATTATTATTATTATTATTATTATTATTATATGCAAGGCATATCTTAACAAGAGAGAGTCGCTCTTACGAACTAATAATAAATATTTTGCGTGTAGAAGGTTTAGAGGCCAGTTGTAAATTGTGAATTGACTTTTGAAAAATGGAAGTAAACAATATTTTATTGATAATTGTCTCTCACCCTTACTCATAGTTATGAATCCCCGGAAGAATATTATAAAATAAATTATTGTTTAATAAGCAGCTGGCACTAAAGCTTAAACATCTAGCATTCATATTCGCTACGTTCACATTATATGTTTTTCCTAGAGTGTCCCGTAATCACGACGCTCATACTAGACTGATATACGGTCGTCCTCTTGATGACATTATTAACGAGACTTTTCCTCTGCATCCGGGCAATCTGTATTGGAATAATTTACATATCAACTATTCAAGACAAAACAAGATGGGTTACTTATGCGAACATTTGTTAGAAACGTAACTGGACATTCAGAAAAGGCATCAGGAAAAAAGCACCCTTCGCTTGTTCTCCTTTGCAGCGTCCATCGTGTACACTGCCGTGGCACGAGGGAAGGTGGCCCTTCCCTGCGACATCAGTCCCCCGTCCCCCGAGGATTCGGTGACGCTGGTGTTGTGGTACAAGGACGAGAGCCTGGCGCCCATCTACACGCTCGACTCACGACGGGGTCACGTGGGCCAGGCCCGCCAATCCTCGCTGCCGGAGTTCGAACAGCGTGCGCACTTCAACATGGCCAACGAGCCGGCCTTCCTGCAGATTGACCCCGTCGAGGAGCAGGACGCCGGGGAGTACCGATGCCGCGTGGACTTCCGGAAGGCACGTTCCATCAACACCGTAATCACCCTTAAAGTGATAGGTGAGACATCTCGCGGATTTCTATTTGCGTTTGTCAAACAGGACGTGGTTACTAAAAGAGGAAGGTATGTTACGGCCCGTGTACTTTCATGTAACAGCACATGAATCTTTAAACATCAATAAGCGAAAGTAAAAGTAGGCAACGTGCAAAACAACGACTAAAATCGAAAACAAGATTGCAACATAAACGGTGATACACATCTCATTTCCCGTTGTCCAGGTTGTTTCGCGCGTTGCATGCCATTTTTTATGTACAAATAAACGCGTACAAATCGATACTTTTCTTTAGTAATATAATCTTAGGAAACAAATGTTCGCTAGTGTGTGCCGTTGTTGAATAGTTAAATTAATTTCATTGCATCAACAGAAAACGGTTATGAAGTGTTGGTATTTTAAGTCTAGCATTTTAGGGGACAAGCCGGTCTGTGTAAAGAAGAGAATTAAGCCGACATGCCAAAGGCGAACAATGATAGGCATAAAAAAACACTAAAACAACGTCTGAAACGTTGTGTTTTGTCATTGTTGCCACCGTTTTGGGTTTAAGCTTGTCAATTAAAAACGATCTCACCTGCCTAATAACGTTGTCTTCACTGCACCAGTTGATTAGCAAGCCTCGAGTCTTTTGCAAAAATCAAAAAGTCACTATCTTAAAACTATTTTTAAAAAGACGCGTTTTTCTTTTTTTGAAGCTTGTGGATTTTAAAGTAATTATTTTTTGGGGTACTTCATTTATTAAAAAAATATACACCAGCAACAAACGACGTTTTGCCATCTATCAGTAAGGAGAGACAAGAGAAAGGCGCAAGGTGCGAGTTGGGGGAAGCGAAACCGATCTGCTCGAGTATATGCCATATTTAAAGATGAAAAAGTGATAAGAAAGCACAATAACACCGAAAATGAAGAGACAATGAGAAAGAAAAATAGCCCAAATGAAAATTGTATTGTACCGAAAAATAATTTCCGGTAAAAAATATCTTACTGAATTATAAGGCTCTTTTCAATCATAGTAAATCGGAATTTACCGGGTGTCGCTGGAATTTACAAGAAGTCACCGCATTTGACAGGACTCACCGGAAATTGCCGGAAGTCAATGGATTTGCTGGAAGGGGCCGTTTTTTTTTTGTTTTTTTTTTTCTTGTGACGATAACGGAAGGTTTTCAGGAAGAAACCTGTGAACCGTAGCAGATGTGTTTAAATCAGATGCTGGAGTATTTGGTAGCCTTTAAATGGTTAGTCCATATCGAGCTGAAAGTTCCATGTTTTCATTTCGCAAAACCGCTATCAGTTAAACATTTTGCACAACCAAAACTATAAAATTTTATTCAGTGGTTAATAAGGACAAATATCCCATGAAATGCAACATAGTGCTGCGCACGATGGCAGTTATCTAAATACTTTAAGCGACCGAAAGTATAAAAAAAAAGACTGAGCAAGAATATAGTCAAAACAAATGAGTGAATAAGGACAAAAAGACTGCAGGGGGTGGTTTTTAAAAAAAATATTAAATTTACTTTACATGCTTAGACGAAGGTGTTCCATAAGCATCTATTTAACAGTATTATTAAAAGTTTGAATCCAGCAGCAGAACTGGCTCAGAAACCCAGAAGAACATTGCGCTTTAAAAGTGACCGCCACTGGTTTTCGAAGGTAGTAATGACATAATTATTAAACCAGATAAAAAAGACATTTGCCAGCAGTGACTGCCACGGGTTTCCTGATTTAGGCCTGACATAAATAATAACTTATTTAAAAATGGCCTCTGCCAGCACAATTGCTTCACAAACACCAAAAAACCTCGCATATTAAAAGTTGCTGTCACTGGCTTTCTGGGGTACGCAAGACATTGAATAAATTATAAAAATGGCATCCACCAGGATAACTGACGCGCAAACACAGATCCAATTGATAATAAAAGTAACTAACAATGGCATTTTGAGGTAGGCATAATTTATTATAGAGATAACGAAGCCTGAGACACTCGAAGAAGGAAAAAGAGGTACACGAAAAAGAGGACGACATACACAACGTCTCGAGAGGAGGCGTGGTGTGTGTCGTCCCATTTTCGTGTCTTTCTTTTTCCTCCTTCGACTGTATCATGCTCTGTTATATCTGCCATTCACTAGATTTCCGATACTTTTACTATCCTTTCAGTTAACACATTAATAATATATTTTAAATAACGGTATACACCAGCACAATTGACTTACAGGCGCTGAAAAACATTGCACATTAAAATTGACTGCCACTTTGTTTTTGAGGTAGCTATTTTGCGACAGGCCCAGATATTTGCCTGTCGCAAGTAGAAGGCTTGGCGGTAATCGATGCCCACGTTTCTGAATTTTCAGAACAGTTCACTGTACGCACTTTTTGCAGGATTGCGAAGTTTCCAGAGTCGCCCTATCTAGAAGTTAGGGGCGCGGTTACCCCTTTTATGGTTTGCTCATCGGCGCTCTACAACGATCGTGAGGAACATTTGTTTTATAAGGCCGGTCACCCCGGGAGATTCGTGCGTGTGTCCATGTCGGAATAAATGCAATGCGCTGCGTCGGGCGCACATCGTGTAGAGCAAAAATTATCAACATTTACTTGAAGAAAAAAAAATTGCATCGAGGATTGGCGCATATGCACAACCGTTGCGCAACAACAAAGCAAAATATTGCGCAACAACACAGCCAAACATTGCACAACAGCGAGCCAAGGTTCCAACGGACCACTATACATTAGAAACTCCGAACAGACGAACATTGAACAACGCAATAAAATAAAAAAAAACAAGGAGCCGGTGAATAAATATAGTAAAACGTAAAGTCCGGAAAGTTCGAAGGACAGGCCTCTCTCCAATTGGAGTCGAAGGGGCAGCGTTGGGCTCTCGGCAATGGTAGTCAAGCACGAAGACGACAGCTGCGATGATGAAAAAGCCTCAAGTATGGCGTCGCCTGGCCGCCGTCTTCCGCGGATCATCCCCGCAACCATGAACGTCATATCCACATTTCGACCCAAAAACTCTGTCCGTCCGCTTCCCTAAAACTGTCCCTCTCTCCCGCGTCGCGTTCCCCGTCTCGCTGGCGCCGAGGGAACTCCCTTCCCCGGGGTACCCGGGGGAAGGGGAAAACCGGGATTGGTCTTTCCTTCGTAACACGGTTCGACCCACGTAGAAAGAAAATAAGTGGAGCAGCACCGCGAGCAGCAAAAGTATACAAAGAAAAAGTCTGTGGGAGCAAAGGCCTTGGCCAGAGTTTATGACGAACGTTGTCTTGAGCTAAAACAGTAACGAGAATGCCCCGGTGGTGGTGGCCTCCATTACATACTCAGTCCACTGTCCCAGATACGAAACCGCACCTCCCGAGCGGTCTCGTACCTGCTCTGGTCTATATACTTTTGCCTGTCACAAATAGAAAGTTGGCGGCGACCACGGCCCGCATTTCTGGATCTTGAAAGCAGTTCAGGGTGCACACTTCTTGCAGGATTGCAACGTCGCCTTGAGCTAAATACTCACGAGAATGCCGCTGCGTTATCGGCCACTATTACACACTCGGTCCCCGTCTGGCCTTGATTTCAGCTGTGCCCTTCACGTCGGCTTCCAGGGACGTTCGGTAGACGACAGTGGCAACCGGTAAACAATTTAGCAAAATCTGGTAACCGACAGTGACTGCCGGTAAAATTCTATTAAACACTGGTAAACTACGCTGGTTTCGATTGAAAAAGGGTGAAAATTCACCCGTTACAAAAGTCTTTGCAGGATTTTTAAATAGGGAGTGAGAGAGATAGAGAGAAAGTGAAGCATGACGGTGGTATATGTTGTTGATTAATATTTGAATTTTGGCTATTTGGTGTATAGACGTAATGAACACAAGAAGAGAGCGAAAACGAGGAGGTAACCGACAGGATGCAGAGCTTACTCTCAACTGAAGTTTATTTATGTTGGCATCCAGTATAAACATGATACGTATCACCTAAATAAACCATTAAAAAAAACACGAAACATGCATGTCACGTTTTCTTTACACCACAGTAACTGGTATGCTCTCTTCTCTCCAAGAACTGCCGCATTTTATCGGAAAGTAAAATCACAGCATGTCTCACGTAGTCTGGCCCGCCTTGCAACATCGCGTGCTTCAAAATTTCACTACTGACTTTGTCCTTGTTTTTAAACGCCACTTGGCATTGGTCGAAGACATTTTGTTATCATGCGGCCGTTGTCATGTCGGTCAAACAAAACGCTGCCTTAACGATCGAGCCAAGGAACACCGTTATAACATTTTTAAAGTTGTCACTGGGCATCTCGGGGCACTCTGCGGACATTCGGGTTGCACCCAGGCTAGACTTATACTGAGTGGTGTTTAAAATAAGAAGAAAGTCAAACGTAAAATTATTGAAGCACGCGACATTGCGAGACTGGGTAGACTGCGTTAGCGCCCGTTCGATTTTTCTTTCCGATAAAGGGCCGTAATTCTTGGAGCAAGGAGGGCATACCACCCACAATGGTGTAATGAACACGTGATATGAATGATTTGTATATTTTTTAAGGTTTATTTAGGTGACATATATGCTTTTTATACTAGATTCCAACATAAATAAACCAGTTTAGAGTCAGCGCTGTGTTTTGTCGACTACCTGCTACTTTGTCCTCGTCTTCACGCTGGTTTTATTTTTCTTTTGTTAGGTGTTATATGTTTCTTGCCGCCAGATTTTCGTTTCTTGTGTATGATAATGTATTTTCAGCTCGCGTGCACTACAACTCTTATTACAGTTCGCATGCCTTTTTCTCCGCTCTTGCAGCTCGTTATCTCATGAGGTTTGAAGTAATTTGGCATTATCCCACAAAATATCATAGCTGATATGTTACTAAACCAAGTGTCAAATGTAGCCAATGCTCCAATATACAAAAGGTGTTTCTTCCTCCGGTAATTTTTCATGGTAGTCTCAGCTTCCGTGATGACGTTTTTGAATCCATAATTTCTCATACTTGATCTTCCCTAAGAATTTTTCCCTGGGTTGTTT